TTGCATCTCACAGCTCTGTTGTGAAGCCCAGTTTGGACTCCGACCCTTGCAGGGAAGATCTGCGGCAGGGAATTGCCTGTGACCTGTTGGAGTTTATTGCTCCAAAGCAATGAGTCTTTGACGCTAATGACCTTAATTCAGGAATCTAAAAAGGCAGGCTAGTGTCGGGGTGCTATGAGCTTCCTGAAATTGTGGGTCAAAGTTAGTATGTGCATTTTCCCGGAGTGTTCATAGCTTCCTTTGGATTCTCAAAGGGGCTTACAGCTGCCCAAAGGTCAAAAACTTCAAGGGACAAGTGAATGCTTCTCGGGGACGCTGGTGTTAGTCCTGTGGGAGGGGGAAGGAGGAGAGAGGGATGACTTCAACTTCCCAGGTGGAGGCGGGGGGAAGGTATTCCGGTGAGACTCCACGAAGAGGTGGCATTTGGGATGGGAGGGGTCCAGGGAGCTAATATTTCTTGTGCTCTTACTGTGTGCCAGGCCTTGTTCTAGGCTAAAATTTACCAAGGATTAGTTAATTGTAACAACCTCATGAGGTAGATAAAATGATTGTTCTGGCTTTGTAGATTCTTTTACTTAGTGAATATTTTTTGAGCGCTATGTATCAGGCACTGTACCCAGAGCTGGGGATACAGCAGTTAAGAAAACAGTAAACAATGCCTCCCTTCATGGAGCAATCTTTAGACTCCCAGGGAAAGACAATGAGGAAACTGGGCTCAAGGGTCCTTGGGCAGAAAAGAGTAAAGATTGGAACCCAGGCAAGATAACACCAGAAGCTGTTGTTTGTTTTTTAATGAAAGGAATGGGTACTAACTGAACAATTGAACTCAGAATTTCTATGCCATAAACACCAAAAATCTAAAGGAAAACAAGAAAATATGTCATAGAGAGCAAAAAAAAGCTTAAAAACATTTTAAAACCACAAATGAAAACCTCAAAATGCACATTAAAGATGAAATGGGCAAAGATTACTAAAATAATTCAGAAGAGGAAATATGAATGATCAACGTTGCATTCTAGCTTCCTGAATTATCAAAACTGTTTATTGCTTGCGCTGTAAGGGAATGTTACCTTGAGGGAGTCATACGCACCTATCAGAGGACAAAGAGCAAAGCCTGGATGTTTACTGAGTTTTGAAGACTGTTCGATGGCAGCTGGTTGGATGGGGGCTTGGTTAGGATTGGTGTGGATCATGATATAATAGTTTAGGATTAATGGAAAACAGCCAGGCCAGGACTTTAAGGGGAGGAGTTTAAAGAGTTATAATAGCATGCCACGTGGAAACCTAGAAGCTAAAATGCAAAGTTGGCTTTCTTTGAGGAAGTGTGTAATCCTTCCTTTGAAGGAGTAAGACTGCAATAGTGTGTTTCTTCACACTAGGCACTCGTGGGGTTCATCTTGCTTCTAGCCTTTGGGGTAAAGTATATACATCACCTAGAGATGCCTTAAGAGCTTATGCATAAACAAGTGATAGTACGAAGAAGCCCAGAGAATAAGGTAGAAGGGAGTGGTAAATGAAGTTGTTGGGTTTTCCATTTTAATTACATGCTATACATTCTCAAATTTTCAGTTAGATTTTTAAAAACTTCGTTGAGGTATCATTGATGTTCAACAAATTTCACGTACTTAAAGTTGCAGTTTTGGGAAGTTCTGACATGAGCCTATATCCCTGTGAATCTATCACCACAATCCAGATTATGAATATGATCCCCCAAGGTTTCCTTGTATCTCTGTCATCCCACTTCCCAGGGCCCCATCTCCAAGTACAACTATCTGTCTTCTGTCACTATGGATTATTTGCACTTTTTATTTGATTACATACAAATATAATTCTATGCTATGTATTCATTTTGTCTGGCTTTTTTTGAAAGGGCATCTCTCATATTTATTGATCATATGGTTGTTAACAACAATAAAATTCTGTATAGGGGACTCAATGCACAATCATTAATCAACCCCAAGCCTAATTCTCAACAGTCTCCAATCTTCTGAAGCATAATGAACAAGTTCTTACATAGTGAATAAGTTCTTA